TGCCCGACTCGCCGTCGCTTGAACAACTTTGAGATACATTGAACAGGGTGAGTTTCCGCTTTTTTTACAAACGTAAGGGCGAGGTTTATGAGAATTCGGAAATGACGGCTTGAAATTGATAGTCAATTTTTAAATGCGTGTACAAACAAATGTGACACCTCGAAGTTTGCTGCCATTCGGTCACTTTGTGGTGGCCTTGCATGTCCACCGAGGGGTAGTAATTTCATGTCTGATCGTTTTCCTACTTTTACACAGAAAACTGCACTTTGGAGAGGTTAACTTAAAAGTCACTTGACAAAGTCCTAAACTAAACCATACAACTGAAATTAAGCAGGATTAGCCGTAAAAAATGCTCAGTTCGTTTAATACAACCCTCGTGCATATAAAAACACATTATTTAAATAAAAGTGAAAGAGTCTTGCAAAGTTCCTTAACTGTAGGCCGAAATGACATCCTATTTCAGCCTTCCCAAATACACTTCAAAATAAACGGAAAATATTTTTTTTAAACAACTTCAAATGGCATCTTTGCTAACGGAAGAAGTTGGCATTTAAACCAAATCCACATTTTACTACTCGCCAACGACTGAGTTTAATGGTGAGACCTACGTCAGATCTTAGACAAGGGAAGCGGGAGTCGTCTGTGCCACTATAAGTCGCAGATTGACTCGGAAGCTGGAAACAAAGTGCAGCTCCACTTTTCACGCATTTCCTCACTGTCAACTCAGTGGTTATTATCGCGTAAGCTTGTCATTTCCAGTGAAATGAGCACTTTGACAGCATCTACTTCTTTGCAGCAACGCTGTAAATTAATCATTATAAAATCTTCCTGTCAATTAAAACCTGCAAAGTGGAAACAACTTTCGTCTGCCAAAATATTTCCAAAACATGGTTAATGCATAAGTGGGAAAGGCCTGACGAATATGAGTTAAGTCACTTCTTTATGAAACTCCAAGAAGACATCGCTCTCAAGCGATTTTATAGGACAACTTAACTGGTTACTGCAGAACAGTGCCTTTTCAATCATATCACTTTCTCGGAGACTCAAATACACAAGATTAGGCTGAGCGCATGCTAAGAAAGATAAATAGCGCCGAACTTGAAAACCAAGGGACCGTCAACAGACGCATGGGCAGAAAACTCCATTCCTAATCCTCACTTGTACAGATGGTGCTATTTTTCATTGTTCTCTGGTGAAAATTGGATTATCAAAGGAGAGCCATGAGCTCTTTCTAATAAAACCGCATTGCCACAAGCAGGAGGTTCAGCACACAGAGACCTCACCATAGATAGGCGAAAGCATGTCATTCACAAAGTGAAAAGAGGTTGGACGTTTGCCGCTGGCCGGGTGTCAGCTCACCCAGCAGAAGGAATGAGACCGCCTGAAGTAGTCGCCACCCATTCAGGTGGACAACGAGGGTACCGAAGAATGCATTTTGGTTTCCAAAAACCTCAGAATGCCTCAACGAATATACTTGAAATAAATGGATTTCATATTCAAAGCAAAAAATTTAAGATCACAACCAGGTGTGGTTGTACAAACTGCTGACTTCTACTGTGCGACGTATTCGTCAACTTAATTCAATATTTTTCAAATTAACAAAAAAGACGCATATATTTACAAAGCGGGGATGTGATAAAAAAGTGCGCAAGCGGAAACACTTCAAAACATGTTTGTATTTGCTTTTTTTATCAGGAGATATTAACTTATATGCAGTTATTTGGGACGTGGGAACAGTTGGGTGGACAATCGTTCCCTGCTCCACGCCCCAATAATCGTGTTTAGGTGCATAATTAGACGAGCAGGGATATTTTGATGCATTTATAACAAAGCTGTAAATTGCCCCAGCGTAACTACTGACGCATTATTAAGCGCCAAGTTGATTCTGACATTCTTATCGTTTCAGCACTCCCATTGAGCCCAACGGTTTTCATAAGTCGTCCGACAATGCATGGTTTTGGCACGCATAACCAACGGGTGAAAATACTGATGAAATCAGTGTGGGCCACCAACCCGCTTTGAGTCACATGGTTCGTCCCATCTGCCCACGGATCCTCCAACAAGGTAAAATCAAATAAACGTCTGTTCAATAGAGCTTTGGAATTACGATTTAAAGGTGCAATTTAAAACGTATATTCGCTTTATTCAAAGGAGAACCCTATTTGTGTCGAGAAGTGTGGAAATTTCCGTTATTTTTTCCTAATGAATCTGATGTGAAGGATGTTGTCTACAGAAAGGCGACTGTATTCCGTTGCGTGGAAGGGGAACTTAATAACGCACCTGAAGTTTATGGAAGGCACTAGTGTTTGTCTCCGCTTTGGCAGGCAGCGACATTTTCCCAGCCACGAGGCCTATGCAGACTGATCACCTGACACCTACAGAGCGCATTAAATTAAAGACACTTTTCCTTAGATCAAATATGTTTTTTTTTAAGAAAGGAAGGAGGAAAATTGCCAAGCAATCAAAAAAGCGTGCAGACTGGAGGTACAACTGATCGGAAAAAAAATTGTCGTCTTCGTAAATTCCACTGCACAGTTTATGAAAAACTGTCCAGTGTGCAGTAAACCTTCATTAATAACTGCTGCAGGGAACCATCACTGGTTCCTTGTTAAGTTATCATTGTGTAATGATGCTTGTGAAGAATCAAGAAAAGCACTAATCCACGACTTCTAAATCTTCTTAGATAAAGAAACGAGAGGTGGAGCAGAAACCCGCCTCTCGTCCCTTGCAATTCTGAGCATTTTATGATGCAAACTATAAAAGCCGTCTAAAGTATGTGAAGCCCTAAAAATGAGTAAATGTTTGGTATTTTAATGGGTATGTTTGAGAGTAAGAGATTCTGTCCTCTTCACGTCGCTACCTGGCGAGTTGTGGGCACTGGGCGCTTTCGGGAGCCAATGGCTCTTATTATAAAATTTATCGCTCTCTACGAGCATTTAATTGTTCTGCAATGCTTCAGATCTTCCGATTCATCTCAACGGCACGGAACTGGAGGGAGGAAGTAAAGACCAAAAGCGATCAAGGCATGGGGGTGACGCTGAGGCATAACTTCACACAAGACGGGCGACTGACGTGCAAGGGTAACTCACTGATGAGTCAATTTAAAATCGCACCTGCTAGAGTTGAATGTTGGGTTGTGGATAGTCTGCGCTTTTTTTAAAGAAAACACGATACACAATTCTTTGCATTCACAAAACGAGAGGCAGTGATTGATTTGAGGGGAGAAATTACCTGTGTAGTGCGATCGACATCAGATTTATCTATTTGGAGCGGTCAAAACCAACCGAATTCTTCGAAGTCTTAGGTGCAGTAAAATGTCCTAGAAAAACTACAAATCTCGAATGAATGACATCCCTTTTGTACCTGCCTCAAGATCATAAACCATCCCAGAGTGATTAGTAGCCTCCACTTTCTCGTTCCTGTCCCTCTCCATCACTGTGACCTCTGCCTTTATCTACTAGTCGCACTCATTCCTCGACATCCTTGTCCCTTCTACTTTCCCTTGTTATTTCCTCCAAGTGAAGTACGTCATCATTGTGCAACAACAAACAGTAACACTCCACTTTCAAGTCAGGTGGTTCTTTTAAGTTTAAATGTAAAAATAGAAATGCCATTATGAGTTTAAATGGCCATAAGATGAGCTGCATCAAATTTGTCCTCTCTAACGGAGACTGCTCAAGGGATTTTAGCCTTTCACCACCCACGTTTAAATTAAAGAATAAGAACTCTGACTGCACCAAAAGTGCACCCAATTTGGATGTTTAGTGATTGGCGAACAGGCCTATCATCAACTGTCTCTTCGGCGTTACCAACCACTTACGGTTGGGCACTACCAGCTTGACAAGACTCCATGAATCTTTAAAGTGGTTTGAGGTAGCCAAGTATTTGAATGCAGTGTCTATCAGAAATAAATCCGATCACACTGGGAGGATATTTTTATTAAAGTTCAATTTCATCATTTAAGATGAATTTGAACAATTTCAGCCTCAAAATTATGAGTCATTCACAGGCCAAATCAAGCCGGCCATTCTTTTAATGTATATCGAAACAACAATAGTCGGGCAACTTCTTTCCTCTCTCTCTTAACTTCGTAAGTTTGGTTAACTGCTTGGCTTCTTAAGCCTTCCCTTGACTCATGCAAAAGGAGACGAACTTGGTCAGAGTCACTTCCCTTCTTTGAAGGCTATCACAATAATCCTACCACGTGAATCAGGAGTGGCAGTGATTGACAAATAATGAAATGTCATCATACACCTTAGGTTGAAAGGTTTTATGCGATTCTAAATGTAACAGTGCTGTGAGGCACTAATATTGCCTATGATGTGCCAAAATTCTAACCTCATTCAAGCGGTATAATTTTTATCAAAGTGTCTAAAGATCCTCCGTCAGTTGAACTGTTCCTTAGTGAAAATTTTCCTCGAATTGGCATACTTATCCCGGCTTTTGTTTCAGAGATCAGTAAAAGTATGAACGGCTACTAAAGCGTGAGACTGCTTTAAATGTTCGTGGAAAAGGCGACTTTTGTAAATAAATCTCCCTCATTCGTGTCCACTTGCGTGACACATGAGTTTGGAAGCATGTTAAAGCTGGTTTTGCCATGATTTAAACCACCCTCAGGCGGCACGACATGGGATCTTGTTAAAAAGTGCCATTTTTTCCTATCTTGCTGGTAGGCACATTTGACAAGTGAAGAGAAGGAAGATTTTAATTTTTGCTAATTGTTTAATGCACGAATATCTCAGTCCATTTATGATTTTGGCTGTTGGTCTTAAATGGCGTACTTTATACGCAAAAAATTGTAAGTAAATAGCTACTAAATGACGAATATCTTGGCAACTACTAACAAAAAATAACCCAATTTTGACGTCCCTCAAATCAAAGAGTGCATGGTCTGATTCCATCAGCATCTGATTGGACAATGATATCTAGGCATTTGATTGGTTCACCTGAGGTATAATTTTCCCAATTCACGAGGCTGGAGCCTCACTTTGTGAAACCGAATGGCCCAAAACAATGTGTCCAGTCTAAATAGATCTTATCAAAATCTCCTCCTACCAACAGAGGGTAGTTTGGAGGCCTACATTTTACGTTTCCTCAATATCTCTGCCAACGCTTCGATCTTACATCTACTCAGGTCTGAATTGACTGTACTTCAGGAAGCAAACCGTCTGCGCGAACCAGAACTCATCGCTTTGATTGCAGTGAATACAACGTTGATGATCTTTGGAGCTGCTGGAGCGCTTATTCTTATAGCCGCTGTAGCCCGTAAACCACGAATGCGAACTCCTCGAACACTGCTTACTGTCAACCTTGCTGTGTCTGATTTGACACTCTGCCTATTCACACAGCCATTTAATCTCATTCGCACACTTCATTGGCACTATGAATGGCGGTTCGGGGAGGTTATGTGCAAATTCACCTCCTTCGCTCAGGCTACCAACGTCTTTGTGGTGACTATGAGCATCACCGTCATTGCGCTCGAAAGATTCAATGTAAGACTGACGTTTAGTCAAATCATTTCCCCTTCTCCTCCCAAAACGTCACAAAGTCGAAAAGGTTTTTTGTTTCTAATTCCTCATTTTTGAACATAAAGCAATGTGATTGATCTTACACCGATATACTGAAGGTA